TTTTTTTTTGCATATTTTTGCATATTTTGGACATAATGCATATAATTGCATATTCATAGATTTTTTTAGAATTCGATATTTTTTAACTAACGGTTTTTAATTTTTTAAAGTTATTGTTAATTTTAAATGGTACTTCACGAAACTGACAGTATTTGGTTTATCCGTTGAATTTTCGTAAATATATAGCATAACTACTACCTATTTTATCTTAGGCCGGATAATATTTGTTAGTTACCTTATCGTTGATCGGACGACTGGTAGAATTACTTACACATTGTTATACAGTGAGACAGTACAGAATAATTGTATTAGAACGTTGTGTATTGCGTAAATGTGCGGACGTTTATACTTAATAATTTGAATGGTTTTAATAACAGTGCATAAAAGTGCCAAGTTACGTGTAATCAAACTAATGTTTAATGTAATAATATGAGCTAATAATAAGTAATAATTATAAATTACGAATTATAAAAATTTGTTTTTGCATATTTTGGTAAATAAAATGCATATTTTACAATTTTTTATTGCATATAAATCCTAGCCTTTGTGACTGTGCAATATGATTGTGCATTTTATATTATATAGTTATGTATAGAAGTGCAATCAAGTACAACACTTTAAACCTTCATAGAATGTAATGGAATAAGCTTTCTAAGTATTTGGACCAAAAAACCAAACACATTTTTGCTACTTCGTCGAGTTCTACTAATTCAATAGATAAACGCTCTTTCTTTGGAACCGTTTGAATATGGACCTAAGAAAGGCTTTATAACGTTTGAGATTAATGAAAATGCGTCGTCTACTACCAATACTACAAAGYGAGTAACTCAACCTTGAATTTTTTCTTATAAGCATATTGGTTTCGGAAATTCCAATCCAATTCTTATAAGCTTATTATAGCTTATATTTTGCAAAAACAACACCGTCAGAAATAAAATATTTTATAAAGTATTTTTTTCTAGGTTTATGAAAAAACATGTAGGTACGTATAAATGCATAACAGTTCTTCGAAAAATACCGAACGGCAATGAAAACTTAGTTGCAYAATTCATTCAAGGAAGAATCGCAAAAAAAATTAAGACATCATGAAAATAACATAACAAAAGCATTAAAAATTTGGATTTAAGATTTATAAATAGTGCTCGAAATACCTTTAAGTTTTTAAGAGGTATTGAAAACAATTTAAACTTCAAATTTGATGATGTATATGTTTATGCAAACGTTTTTTTATTGTTAAATTAATTACAGAAATATATTTGTTTCAACAAAAAATATACTATTTGAAACAAAAATTCATTTTTTGTTTTTTTGATCGAACATATTTCGTTCAAACATATGATTTTCCAACATATAACCCCTCGTCTATCATATGTATATTTAAATATTAAAATATAAGCAGTCGTATAAACAAGTAAGACGATATTGAAGTTGAATATAGTAAGAACTTTTAATGCGATTAATAGATGAACTATCACACTAGGTGAACAAAATAAAGACGTCTTACATATAATAACATACAACATTCTAAAAATTGTATGGTTATATCAAAACTTCTAGCCAAATATGATCCAATATTGGATACACTTCTATAATAACCAAATGGGAGAATAAAATATTTGAGCTATTAAAGTGAAACAAAAAAAATATAATAAATATACCTGATATTTCTTCTGCGTCTTTCCTCCTAATTTCGAGATTCAACACAAGATGTGAGCAAGGCTAAACAAGTTTCTACGATTTATTGCAACGTACGTATAGGAAAAAGGTGAAACCGGGATTAAAGGATTGAAATAAAAGAAGATTTCATTGGGTTTTCCTAAGCAAAGGAAGAAGGACGTGTGGATGAAGCAATGGAAGAACAAGACTATTGAGATAAACATTACACTTCAATGGGAGAAGTTAAAAAAAAGCAGCAACATTTCTAGGTCCAGTGGCGTGCTCACGGGGGGGG